TGGGCAGGAACGAGTGCTGGGATCATAATACCCCAGCCAGATATCTATCCAACCTCTTCTTGAAGACCCCCAAGGTAGGAGAGAGCACCACCTCCCTTAGGAGCCCATTCCAGAGCCTGGCAGCCCTAACTGTAAAGTAATGCCTCCCGATATCAAGCCTGAACCTGCTCTTAATCAGTTTGTGGCCGTTATTCCTTGTTATCCCAGGCGGTGCCCGGGGGAACAGCCTCACCCATTTTCCACTGGTCACCCCTGGTGAGTTTATAGACGGCCACCAGATCCCTTCTCACTCTTCTCTTGTGGAGGCTGAATAGGTCTTAAAACAGTGGTTACCTGCTCTCTTGAGTGCAACTTTGAGTACTAGCTGAAAAGTGAATGTTCAATACAGCTAGTGAGTGTACCGATCCCCTTTTTGAGATGTTTAAGCCATCAAGCAGTTGTGCCTCAGAGCTAAAGAGTTTTACTAACTGATGTATATGTTTCCTCCTTTGTTGTAACATGGCTTCCTGCTTGTATATTCAAAAAGACCTTGCTTTTGCTGGGGTTTTTTTTTTTTTTAATAGTAAAGGCTCTTAAATTTACTATCAGTGTGATAGCTAATCAGTCTCATTCAGACTTGTTGATATTAAGCCACAATAAACCTGTGGCTTAATTTTGCAATACTAAAAAAAAAAAAATAAACCACTTTAATATAACAAATGGTTAGGTTTTAAAGCAGAACATATTGTGCACATTTGGACTAGCAGTTTTGCAAATATGAGTTTTAAGGAGCAGGTTTGTGTTGATCGCACATAAATTAGCTATTTTAAGTTCTATAAATATAATTAGCTGAAAGGTATTGGCATGTTAGAATCAGAGCTTTCATAATCTATGTGGATTGCTGATCACATCCAGAGCATGAGTTCAGTGTCTTCTAAAAGTTTATTATGGGAACATAATTAAATAAACCACAAAATGGAGCAGGTCGAATTTTGGCTGTCTGTGTTAGTGCTGGATTCTTGTTGGAGCTGGCAGGACAGTGAGCCCATGTAGGATATCTATGATAGGTCATGTATTAGACTGCTAGCAGCTTCATGATGGCAAGAAAAAATCAGGAGAAAAAACATTAATTTTCACCATTAATTGAAGTCTATTTTTATTTTAAGAGTTCTTTAGGACTAGCTTTCCTGCACTGGTGCTGAGGTTTGGACCAGATCACCTCTGGGGCCCTTTTCAACCCTATTATTCTATGAACTATTAAGTGTTTTTAATATAAAAATAAATGTCTGCTACAATCCTGTGCCTCTTAAATATTATGACTGGCAAGGAATAACTGTCCTTAATTCTGGTTTTTCTTCTTGGAGCAAAACAAAGTAAAAGGAATAAGAGAGGGTGTGGAATTCGTAAATATGTTTATAGTTTAATTGCCTTGCACCGTTTCACTGTACTTCAATTTGATCTTTTAGTTCTTTTTCCCCCTTTTCACGCTGTGCATGTCTTCAGATATTGAAACCTAACAGGCAAATGGTAAGAGTTCTGTTAGAAAAAGAGAAGGTGGTACAAAATATTGTATCCAGTATTTCACAAAGCCAAAGGATGCAGCATCCATTCTTTTTCAAAAATAAAATGGCTGCAAGAATCTGTTCATATTTTATATTCCAGCTGAACAAACATGTAGAGTAGCATGAATTAAGACACTTTCTTTCAGGGGGCATTCATGTAACAGCAATGGTTTAATTTTTGTTTGCAAGTTAAATACTAGTATGCTGTTTTTTGAAACACTGATTGGCATACTAGCTTTTAAGACATTGAGTAGTAACAAGGATCTACTATCTAATGAACTTGTACATTGAGGCCAGTCTCATTGTTAACGCACTGAAAACCCACTTTTCTTGCTCGTCTAAAAAAACATGAAAATGTGCAGTATGGCACTATGGGGATATGCGTACACTTCTTTTAAAATGAAAGTCAGTTCTCTAACACGGGCTGCAGCCATGTTAAGCCCAGTTTCTTTATTGATTTATTAAACTATCAAAGGGGATGAGTTTTATTGCATATCTGTCTCCATGTCCTCTCTTCCCTATGGTCACGATGCTTGCCTTTTAAATGATACCCTATAAACAGTATTGAAATTTACCAGAAGTAGATGAAGAAGAAATTTACTTCATCTGAACGTATTTAGTGTGCCAGTCATACAACATTTTAGTGCTGTGGGCCAGCATCTTAAATTACACACTGCTTGCTCATGAGAACAGAGGAGGCAAGCAAAGTAAGAGTGACTTACATTTGTACAGCATGTGGGTACACAGTTGAGACAAGCCTAGCATTTCTGCTTGTTGGAGCTGGGATTTTAACACTGCAGAGCTTGTTATTAGTTCTGATAGTTTCATATATGAGGACAGGGAACGAAGAAAGCAGTAGACACAAAGTGTTTGAGTGATAAGATTAAACTTTGAGATGGTCAGCCTTGAAATAAAGTGTCTTTTCTGTCATGTGCTGCTTGAAAAGCGTAACAGCACCATTATTTTTGAATTGCAGATTGTTGTTTGAAAATGTGAAACCCTCAAACGATGCTGCATTTTTAAAATACCGTTTAATGTTTAAGTTTGTTATTGAGCAGTTATGTTCACTTTGAATGGAATACCTGCCATCTGATAGTTGCAGTTTAGTTGGATATTAACGCAATTAATTGCTTGGTGACTTTACTTTCCTACCACCTCATTTTACTGTTGAATTTGCTTCATCTTCCACTATAGATTTGTGGTGGTTTGTGTTTTGAACTAAGGAGATTCCTCCTTAGAGTGCTGTAAATCTGGACTTTTACAGGATATATTTTTCCCCTTTGTAGTTTGTGCTGTAACCTTGCTTTCCTTACTGTACTTAGTGATCAGTCACAGGATGCTTATAAGAGTAGATTCATTACTAGAACAAATATCTGAAAGCTCTGATTTATTGCATGTGATATTAACTGATTTTCTATAATGTCTTTTGTTTAGATGTTTGGAAACTGGACTTTTGGTACCTTGGTCTTTACAGTTATGGTTATAACTGTAACATTTAAGGTATGTTAGTAAACAGCTTACCCTCATCTGGGAAATAGTCACATGACGAATAGTTAGCATACGTTTCAAAATGATTTCATAATAGCATCAGTACAAGAATATTTAATTCACATTTTCTCCAGGAATTAGGGTAGAGTATTTTTTGTGATTGGTTTTGCTCGTGGTGTAGGAGTTTCATTTTACAGCTTCACGCTTTTCAAAATGAGTTGATGTTAAAGAACAAAGTAAATTTAATAGTTTTAAAGCAATGGTGGCTTTTTGTGTAAATGAAGAGAAGTGGTTTATTTAGATATAAATTGCTAATGTGTTCTGCTTGTGTTTTAGATGGCTTTAGAGACTCATTTCTGGACTTGGATAAACCATTTTGTAACCTGGGGATCCATTGTATTCTATTTCTTATTTTCCTTGTTTTATGGAGGAATTATCTGGTGAGTAATCTTTTCTGTCTCTTTTTTTAACCTCTCTGTATATATGTTATTATATTAAACGTGATTGAAGAAGATAGAGGTTGAGGATTGTTTTAGTAGGTACATCCTGCATTCTGGCTATCAAGTTAACAGCATTGCAGCTGTTAATTTTGTTGTAGGAGAGAAGAGGAAATGCCTACTGTTCATTACGCTGAACATATATGCTCCTTTTCCTGCTGCATGCGCAACATGGGCACCCCGGCTGCCTCCTGCTGCGTTGCCCTGTTCCCATGAGTGGGAGCAGGAAGCAGAAGCTGGGGACAAGGGAACTCAGGGCATTTATACACACGTTTGTCTGCTCCAATGAGCTGGAGGTGCAGCATTTCAGAGCAGACTCCATTAATCGAGTCTGCTCCACGCATGAGCTGACACGTCTGGTGCTGCATCATATGCATTTGTATAAACAGCAAAATGTGCGTCAGTGCGCAGAAAATGGGGGTGCACTTTTGAACTAAAACACTTTTCATGTGTTTTGGTTCAAAAGCGTGCCACCTCCATTTTCTAGCGCTAATGTGCATTTTGCCATTTATATAAATTATACAAATTTCACCATTTATACAGATGCACATGCCGCAGCACCAGGCACTTTTAAAAGCACCCGGCGCTGCAGTGCAAGCATGTGTACCCTCAGAGCCCTCAACTGCAGCTGCATCAAAAAAAGAGGGGAGTGGTCTCGGGGGGGCTGCCATTTGGACAGACCTGCTTTAAATAATGTCAGTTTAACCATTAGAATATTTAAAGAGAATTTTGTTAATCATGTCCTTTATAGAAGAATCACTTCTGCTACTACAGAGATATGCACATATATGATGTTTGCATAAGTGAAGCATGCTATATAGTTGGAACCCATCACACACAGGAAGGCAATGTTTCTACTTTGCTTTTCTCCAGTTTTCTGTTAGGGAGCAGTTTTAAGATAAGGAACTTTTAAAGAAGCTTTTCCTTAGGTCTGCAGCAAGGATAGTGTGAACCCTAACTTCACTAGGCACACTCCTCCCCTACCATTATCACCCACTTCTTAGCTGTTATGCATGTTAGATGGTTCCTCTCAATGGACGTTTCGTTACTGTAACCCGGTGCTCCAGCTTATTCTGGAGACCTGTATAAACTAAGGATGAATGGACAAATGTGTGTTGGGTTTTGTTTATTTTGTACTACTTGGCTTTGTTCTAATTGCTACTTTGGTAATTTTTTCAGGCCGTTTTTGCATACCCAGGATATGTACTTTGTATTTGTTCAGTTGCTATCAAGTGGTTCTGCTTGGTTTGCCATAATCATCATAGTCGTTGCTTGTTTGTTTCTCGATGTCATGAAGAAAGTGCTGTTTAGACATCTACAACCAACTAGTACTGAGAAAGCTCAGGTAATATTCTTTTTTATATACAACATTTATAACAATGTTCTTTTTTAATTAAATTGTACTTTAAGTGGATGACTAATTAGTTTTTCTCTAAATGTCACTTCCTGGGCAAGAACTTAAATAGCCATGATGCTTTAGTATGTAAAAGTGTTCTCGTTTGATAACATAATTAATGTAAATGATGCACACCTATTTAATGTTGTCATCTGTTTTAAATAACTTTGTGTACCTGAACTAAAAAAATCATTTCTGAATAAAGCTAACCTATGAATTTATCCTGACCAGACCAAAAGCCGTTCAATCTTTAGCAATCTGTTTTATAACCATATACCAGAACACATTTCACAGTGTGCTATTTTAAAGCTAGTAATTACATTTATTGTCTATTTTTTCTAGCCTAAAATTTGGTATCTAAAGGTGTCGGTGATGTTTTTGAATAGTTGTGCTGTAATAGGGGGCAATAATTAAAAATAATGTTGCTAGCATCCAGCTTTCAAAGCTGTTTCCCATCAAATATTACAAATGTAAAAGATTTGTTTTATTCTTCTTTACCATCTGGTGATAAGACATTCCCCTTAGTAAAAATTCTGTCATAGGTTCCAAGAGTTTATTTGGCTCTGGGTTATGGAGCTGAAGAAAACTCGATGTGATTTTCATAAAATTGCAGCTTATAAGGGTGATTGTGACCATATAGTGTGATCCCCTGTATAACTCAGGTCAAACAGGACTTCTTTGAATTCATTTTTTTAAACTAGAGAATAACCTTTAGAAAAACATATAATCTTACTTTTTAAAAATATTGGTGATAGAGAAACCACTGCAACTTATTGTTCCAGTACTTAAAAATATGTACCTTATTCCTAGGCTCAGTTTGTCTACCTGACCTTTCATCTAGTTGGTCTTGTTATATACTGTACCTTTGTCTGAGATTTGAAGAGCCCCCATTAGCAAATTTCAGTTCTCCGCTTGGGCACATGCAGACTGTGACCAAGTCACACCTTAACCTCCTTTTTGTTAACTAAACTGTTTGAGTGCCTCAAGTTGTTCACCATAAGGGAAATATATCCCAGTCCTTTAATCATTCTTTTGGCTCTTCTCTGTATTCTGCCCAATTTTTCAACATCTTTCCTGAGCTTTAGTCATCGAAACAGGACGCAGTATTCCCGTAGCAGTCGCACAGTGCCAAATGATGCCCTTTTGCTTTAGAAGCAGTCCCATTAAATTTCATGGGACCATTCATGCAGTAAAGAAATACCTTGTTAGGTTTATTGTCACTGATGTAGCACAGGATTCTTTTCACATTTGTATGTCATTAGATGTGTTAATTAAATGCCTATTTCAAAAAAAGAGAGAGAATTCTACCATCCCTCTCAAAGCACAGAAAAGTACCATTTGATTTTTTTTTTTTTTTTTTTTTTTTTTTTTTCC